ATGCCAAGGGGCTGCCTGGGGCAGGACATTAGCCCTGGAGGGCAGGAGTGGGTGTGGCAGTGACATCACAAGGGCCTTTTGCAGCCCCTCAGCTTATTGGCTAACGGAGGTTGGGAGGTGATGACCTCACAGAGAGTCCATGACAATGGCCAGGTGGGACAGGCTGCAGGGCAGGGGCCTTCTCAGAGACCCCCCATGGCTTTGCTGCAGGGAGTCTCCTTGAGAGTTGCCCTTGAGGCCTTTTTGGAGCCTTCTCCTTTCCCACGACTAACTAACCTAGAAGGCAGATGTCCCTGTGGAGCAGGGAAGAGTCACCAAGAAAGCTACTGCTATCATAACAGGAGGGTTAGCTCAAATAGTTGAGTGGTTGCTTTGCCTGTGAGAGACAGTGGCATTGATGCCCACATTCTCCAGTTAGAGGGGCAAGCCCCATTCTACTCTTTACTGGCAGAGCTGGCCAGGGGGCTAAGTGAGTCCAGTACTTACTTTTCCCAAAAGCCAGCCACACTGGGGCAGAGAGCTGGCAGGAGCACTGGAGGCAGGTTGCTGGTGGGGCAGAATTAGCTCCACTGGAAAAGTGCTTCCCCTGCACATGAGAGGTAGCAGGATTCACTCGCAGGGCCAGCCCCTTTCCTGCTGCCCCAACTCTTATTCCCACCATGCACTTTGTACAGGGGCCAAGGCTCCTGGCTGGGAGCCAGGACTCAGGACCCTTTTCCAAAATATATGAATCCCTCCTGTCCCCAATCCTCTGTTCTGCTCACACAGAAGGCACAATGATACACATAGTACATGCCAAGGGCCGCAACTTAAGTGTAGTTGTGTTATGCTTAAGAAAAGCACCCGGGATTTTTTTCAGAGGGATAAGGCAACATGCCACATTTATTGAACGTACATAGATTAATCAATATTTATCATATGCATATGACACATTACTCTCTCTCACACACACAAGCAGACTCCATCTTGTTGTTACCTAACATTGCTCCCCCTCACTGCACTGGTCAGGTGAGTTAGATGTGGGAGGGGTGGAGCTGGGCTTCTGCGGATCGGGATCCACGCTCTCATGTTGACAAGATGAAAACCTAGGTCCCTCTGCAAGACACCTCCTATTTATCCCTCTCATGCAGCCAATTAGTCATCGCCTCGCCCTTCCTAATGCTGCTTCAAAGAGAGTTCTTCCAAGAGCAGGCACTTGCTGCTTGACTCTGTCTGTATGTCCAGTCTTCTTAATGAGCTCACTTTGCAGGTATTGTCTTGGGTCTGGCTCCCAGACCTTCTTCACCCTTGCAACTGCTGCTGGAGGTGCTCCCCTTTCATTTTCCATTCACACCTCATTCATTTCAACAGGGCAATCAAGGAAAGGGGAGAGCTCAAAGGATGCACTTAAGGCTGTTTCTGTGGTGTCCCTGGCTTTCACCTTTGCTTCATGGGCAGAAAGTCACTGACTCAAAGCCAGACAGAAACAAAAAATCTTCTTTTATTGTGGCTCCCTTTGGAACCCACAAGGCAGTTCCAGGGCCTGCCCCCTAGTGCAGGGTGGCATGTGTATGCTGATTGTCAGGAGCACGAGAGAGACAGCTGGGCAGGTTAGGCTGAGATGGGAGGCCGCAGCACTGGGGTTGAGGCTCCTCAGTGGTGCCTTGGCAGGGACCAGGGCATGGCAGCCACATAGTCCAAGGCCAATGGCAGCACCCCCAGCTTCTGGGACATCTGTAGCCTTTGCTGCAAGGGGACACAAAACCAGGTAAGGTTCCCCCCTGATGCTCAAATCCCCCAAGACCCGGCAGCCCCAGCTTGCTCCAACACCTACCGTTCTCCCGCAGCCTCTCTCCTGGCCACACACAGCACTTCTTGGCGCTTCTCAAGCCAGGCCCTGCATGGAGCCACAAGGCAGGAACCAGCCCTTGGAGCTCGGCTTGCACCGGAACCGGCAGTTTCCCACCACGTCTCACTTGAGAAGAGGCGACTTGTTCCCCTCCCTCTCACCTCACGTCTCCCTTGTCTCTGTTCCCTTCAAAGGTCTCCTCCGCCTCAGGACCTGCCTCCTCAGGGCGCTGCCCCTCTGCCGGGAGTGGGAGACTCCACAGTCTCTGCACTTGGGCTGAGAAGTCTAATTGGGACTCGTCTGTTGATGGCGTTAGTCACCCCAATGGCCAGCCAGATCCATTCCGTAGCGCTGCCCGAGAGGGAGCTTTCCCAATCTCCACTGGTATTTCCTGGGGCTTTGTGTAGGGGGATTGGGCTTGGCCATTTTCTCTGCTGGAAATGCCTCTTCTTTGGAAAGCAGCTCCCAGGAGTTCATGGAACTTCTTCTTCTCAGCTTGGGAAAGGGACAAGCAAGGGGCGATGGGACAGAGGTTTATGTAATGATGACAGGGGTGCAGAAAGCAAATAAGAAAATATTTTTTCGTCTACTTAAGAACCAGGGTGACAGAATGAAACTGGTAAGTAACCAAGTTAAAAAGGAAACATTTTTGCACCCAGTGGAACTCCTTGCCAGACGATGTTGGGAAGGTAAAATCTACAAGAAGGTCCAAAAAAAGAATTGGATAATTTAATGCAGGGAAGGTCAATCAATGGAATTTAACCAGGATGGACAAGGCAGGTGTCCCTAGCTGGTGTATTCCAGAAGCTGGGAATGGGTGACAGGAGGGATCATTTAATAACTGTGTGAGGATTCCTTGGGAGGATGAAATAGTCTGCTGTTGTGAGACAGGATCTTGGGCTAGCTGGACAACTGGCATGGCCCAATCTGGCTGTTCTGATGTTCTGTTTGGTTTCTGTTCTTGTCCCCTCTGGGCAAGAGAGAATGGACTCCCTCCCCCAGCATCCTGAAGTGGACAGAAAATGGCCTGCAAAAGGTTTGTGTTGGTGAGCAAAAAAAGCTCATTTTACATGTCCCTGATGGTCTAGTGGTTAGGCACCAGGGCTCTCATTGCTGTGGCTTGGGTTCAATACCCAGTCAGGGAAACCAGCCTCAACTTCCAGGTAACAGCTTCCCTAGTCATTTTTCTCACCTCATTGCTACATATTACAGCAGCTGTGACCCAAGAGGTTAACTCAGGGACCCTTTCCCCCCCTCTCCCTCACTGCTAAGACAACACCTGCCATTTTCAGAAGGGGCCAAGCTGGGTGACTCTAACTGCCCCTCCCCTCTCCTGCATGGGCAGCGCTACAGGAATCTCCATGGTGCACACAAAACTAGCCCAGCACAGTGTTCAGTTTTGCTGTTGAAGGAGACAACACAGAACTGGCTCCAGCCCCCACTCAGTAACCTGGAGAAATGACCCACCAGGCCTGGGCCCCCCTGAGAGGCAACGATTCCCCACTGGCAAGGGCAGGGCCTCCCTCTGACACAGTCATGGAGCCTTCTGCCCCTGGTCCTGCCTCCCCCTTCACCCAGCTCTCACTGCTCGGTGCTGCCACGGAGGGGCCTCACTGCGACAGCCGCCTGGGCAGGTTCCTGCCACAGAGACACGTCCCAGAGCAGGACGGATGCTCAGACCAACACTGAGTGTTGCTCAGCGCTGGGGTGAGACAGGGAAGGGCAAAAGGGTCTAACGGTGCCTGCAGCCTTTCAGAACAGCCCCCAGCCCCACCCCCACGTCCCAGCCCTTCCCTCTGCCCCTGCTGGGCTCCGCTGGGCACTGCCTGGACTCAGGCCTCCCCAGTGCCAGCCTAAGGGCTCTGGAGAGGACAAGGCAGTTCCAGGGGCAGAGTCCGCTTGGCACATCTGGGTGGAGGGGGG